CTGTTACCATTATCCGTCTTTCGTCGCGTCGTTAGAATTATTTTCGTGCACGTGGATGTTTATGTTTTTTTTTTCATCCTTCTCGCAGTAATACCTAAGACCGAATTTTATTTGATTCGTACTTTCGCGCCGCTATCAAGGTGCAAACATACTGTTGATCGTTGCAATCCTCGTGAATTGTCGATAATGCCGCGATACGCTCTTCGTTTAACGATAACAGTAATTGCCGATGACGTAGCGCAACAATAAATACGCGACGGTCCGTTTCAACTACGTTTACCGTTGAAACGCTCGTCGCCTATTCCGCGTTGTCCGTTACGATTATGATAGAACGCAACGCGTTCTCCGGGAACGATTTTACGTGGAGAATCCATTGGATATTCTCGAAAAAAGGTAACGAAAACCTTCGATTCCCCGCGATAACTTCTATATAGTTAATTCATGTCACGATGATAAGAACAAAAGAGCGATAAGGAAAAAAAACATGCTGATACAGGCTAAGTGCGCTTCTAGCTGCAACTCGTGACAAAGGCGAGTCTCTTGGAAACAGAAGTTGTGTAACACCGTGTTTACAAACTTGAAACATTGAGTACACATAAACCACGCAACCGTAAAGATATCAAATGTACAATAGTAATCCTCGATCTTAATTAAATCGTGATCAGGTACGACACACTCGCAGAAGTGACCGGGCACATAAATTACTGCCGCGAAAACGAAGGAAAACGCCCGTCGAATTAATCAAATTTATCGGTAGAGAAAAAAGTGGGCCTCGCGAAACGGCGAGCATCAATCAAACAATTTCCAACGAAAACAAGTTCAGTGTTCCATTGTAGTCATCAACCCCGAGCTGTAAAAGCATCCCCCGCAGGATAGAGAGAAACGAGGGACCAATTCACAAGTGCCGAATGAAATTCCAGGCCATCAATCCTCCGCCGATAAATTACAAGCGGCGCTGGTCCGCGCCCGGAACGATCGGCCCACATCTTCCAGTCTAACCGACGGCCATTAATTGCTGGAAAGTGCTCGCGATCGTCGCATAGTTGTCGTAGTTTATCCGGCCCTTCGAATCGAACCGATTCGGCCGCTTCATAACGCGGTCGCCGCGTCCGGGCGGCGCGGTGCGGCGCGGCGCGGACAATCGCGGTGATTAGCGGCTCGCAACGGACACCGAACGAATTCCACGCGAGAAATTCACAATAACCGCCGTCAACCCCGCGGCGAAAAGCGATTTAATTGTCCGCTGGAACGCGTTAGCCGGGTAATGCGCCGGCTCGCTTATTGACGGTTCATCCGCAGTGCTTTAAACGCCTCGCGTGATTGCCGTTACACGTGATACGCCGGGGTCGTTTATCTCTCGCGGTGCTGACCTCGCCGAAATGTGGCCAATTCCACCCCGGGCCAGATCCCTGTGAAGAGGACTGGCGGAGGATTCGTCGGGGAATCTAATCGGCTGACGCGGTGAACTGTGCTTTTCCTTTTTTTTCTCTCTCTTCTTCTTTCTCCTCCTCCTCCGCCTCCTTCTCCTGCTCCTCCGCCGTTCGTTTCTATTTTTTCGTCGGCTTGGCACGATGACAACGCTGAAGAAGGACGAGAAGAGGGCGTCGAAAAAGTCGGCGAAGACGAGCAGCCAGAAAGCCCCCGTTCGTAACCCGAGGACCACGGCGAAACTGAAGCAGCAGCCGCATCACCACCACCACCTTGTAAAAACCGAATCGAACGCCGAACCAGGTAGAACATCCAGGCCAGACGAGTTTCTTGGCCAGCGGATGCAATGGTGCAATGTTGTGTAAACTGCGATATATACAGTGCGCGGATTCGTTGAATTATTTTGTACCACGGGGATAGTCGATCGGAAGAATGCCATCGTGGATTAGAACGTACGGGCCGACACGTGAGAGATAGTGCGGAGAGATGGAGAAAGTTATCGTGTGTGTACATAGTATTCCCTCTCTAATGGCACGTTGAATGGGACCGGAGACGCGTATTTAGAGAGCATTGATCTCGATTTTGTTCTGTTTCAATTGTACTTTTTATTTTCGTTCATTTGCCAGTAGTTGGATTAGAATCTTTTCTGTTGATACTTTATTGTAATGTCACTGGATACTGGATTTTATGAAGCTGTTACAGAGAGGGAATACTCTATTTTTATGGTTTAAATTTTCTTCTGAACATTCAGTTGGATTTGTTCAAAATTACATTTTATTTGCACCTGATTTGTATTAAGTTGGCTAAGAAGTTTTCTCGGGTTTCTTTTTAAGTTTCTTTCTTTAAGCATCGGTTCCGGTCCGGTATCGTTGATCAAGTATTACTACAATAATTATTTGAACATTGTATTAGCATTGAATAGAAAATTGCATATGCAATTTCCGAGAAAGAAAACTCTTCAGGCCAGTGCACAGCTTCGAAGGGCTATTTTCTTTCAGGAGATCCGGAAAATGATTCGGTGAGCCTCAAAGTTGAGGAGGGCCAGCAGGCGGAGGGCGCTGCGAAGAAAGGCGGGAAATTCGAACGCAAGAGCTCGTTCCGTCGGAAAATCGGGTCGCTGATAAGAAGCAGTGCCGAGTTACCGGCAGCGATAAACCGCGGCCTGCAGCCGATTAAGCGTAGCTTGAGCTTCAGCAAAGACTTGAACCGGCTGCACGAGCCGTCAAAGCCGTCGCGGATTGGCAGCGTGCTATGGTATAACAGTCTGGTGTCTTTGGCAGAGGATGAATGCCTGGATGAGACTCCGCCAAGGAAGGAGCACAGCTTCCCTCCACCGAAGGCTCAGGTCACCAGGACGCAAAGTCTCATCGACACAACTAGCGTAAGATTTAAAATCAGATTTGGTCGACCTTTGCCATCTCTACATTGAGATTAGTGTGATCAATAGATTATAGATTTAATACAGATTAAATGAATTTGTAATTTACAAACTGTCGTGTTAACCCTTTGCACTCGAGGGGCGACTCTCAGTTGCCATTTAATTGAAAGCAACAAAATTGTAAACTGAAAAATTCAATATAAAATGTCGAATCAGGTATTAACAAATGAAACGTAGAAATAAAACAACTCTGCCCCATAATTTATGCAATATGTTTCTTTATGTAAGTTGCAAATGATATTGTTAATATTTCGTCAGAAAATAATGAATGCTTGTAATGAAAAATATCGTCGAGTGCAAAGGGTTAACCCTTAGCACTGCAGGTTGTTTTGTAATCTATCAGGAACTGAAAAGAATTTGCAAAGAATTTTTATAGTATTCCTAGCGAAAATTAGAAATGCTATAACATTTCTTCGATCTTTTATTTTCCTTCTTAGTATACAACTTGGATGTGCGGAAAATTGAATGACTTTAGGGTAGTTTCTTTAAGATATATTAAAATATTTAATACTATAACTGGTGCAATATTGGAGCCTACAGAGTTCAGAGGGTTAAAATTTTAAATAATTCTTAGTTTAGAAGTTTATTCTTTTTCTGCTTTTGTTGATTACATCATTAAGATGTAGGGTTCGTTTAAGAATGAATAAAAATAGTCTGTTGATTTCGTTTGTGCAGTCATAATTGTTATGTGTTTAATATTGTCTTAGTAAATTGTTCTCGATATTTGGAAAATTGAAAAGCAGATGGTTATTTTTATGGGACGTTAGGTACATCCCATGATATATTCACCGGTTCGTAGGATTGCTTAGTTCCACTAACCAGTTACTAGTTACGCAATGTTCAGTCCGGTAATTAAGTCTTAATGAGCGTTCCCATCGAATTTGAATAGGATTTTAAATGAATTTGAAATGGAAATCGGGTTGATGGGGAGGCTCGGCGAGCAAGCCGGATTTGCATTTGTATTTGATATAAAATCCGCCGGGGAGCTCGCTGATGAAGCTGTCGTGACTAGAGAATGCGGTTAGCATCCCCAATTCTTGATAGACGTATTTGCGCGATCGGATTTGATTAATTTAGACTCGAGATAACAATTTACTTTCGTTTAACGTCGAAGGAAGCTGCGCGTCGATTGATTTCTCTGTACAAAGTGACGTCGAAATGGAACGAGAAATTCTTTCAATTTTACAAACCGATAACTTACCCTCCCTCGATCATCGAACTAAATAAAAATTCTACAGTTACTAGAAATCTATATGAAACACACTAAAAGCACTCTAACTAATTGATCAATGATCCGTTCGATTCGCTGTCGCGCGTTCATCCAAATTCTCCCAATACACTCGAACTTTCGTCCACGCGAACTGTCCCATTTAACAGACCGATAATAATATTTTCCCGTCGCGTCGATGGGGTGTGTCCAAATCGTATCGATAAGGCTGGTCACCGAGGAAAGATAAATTATTGTTCGATACATTTGAAACACCCTCCGCCGATACAGGACGATTGACTTCCTCCTAAGCAAATCACTATAAATCTACTGATCGCTAACTGAACTATACTTCAAACATGAACCATTAACTACCAACGCGTCTGTAATAAATGAACAACAGAAACAACAAGTTTCCAATTAAATTAGAACTCGCTCTTTTATCGCATCGAAGTTTCTTCTCGACCGTTCAAACTTAATTTCAATCGAGAAGTAATCTTTCACTGACCAATAATTCCCTTAGAATTTGTAGCCGGAGTCGTAGATATTCCACCGGCAGAGATTCGAACACGAACGCGGCCAGGCAATAAAAAATATTGAGAAACAATCGAACCGCTCGCGCGTCTTATTTCCAGCGTGCAATCGGATCCGAATGCGGGAGGCGCATTAAGGGGATGAAAATATCCGGTAATGGAGGCTAGTACGGCAACGGGGAAAAAATATCTGCCCCGGCCACGCTAGAAAAAGGTCGATTAGCTCGGTCGATTTTAAATAGAAGCGTTCTTCAAGTTCCCGGTAAATCCTGGCCTCACTCGATTCTCTCACGGAAGAGGGGCCCCTCCGTCTTGTCAGCCGTGCATCTTTTATCGTGGCCAAGACGGAACGGGGCGAAACCGGCGCCGGCTCGCAGTATATCTTCCCGTGGTTCCTTAATTTTCATGTGCGTTCGAGCGTCGCGATCGATTGTAAAAGAAATTGCGTTTCCCCGGCAGGTCAGGACTCCACGGCGACGGGTGAACGAGCTGCTGATCAAAACCGCCCCTTACGGCCGGCACAGCGACCACTATGACTCCACAATAGGTAAATATATCCTCGCGGTATATATTCCTTTAAGAGGTTTGAATGAATAAACGAGAGAAGATTAGATAGGTAATATTCTGTAAAATAGCAATATTTAATGATCAAGTGACGTTGACTCGAAGTTTCGAATTATTTAAGCTGAATCAATTTCATCCGCAGCTTTTTTTAAAGAGACCTTTAACGTCATCTTCTTATCGCTGGTACGCCCGCTTCAGCCGGCTTTGCCGGGAGTTAACGAGTGTCACGGTACCTTTGTACCCTCGTTTCAACGAAGCTTGATTTTCACGTTGCAGATTTAAGTAATCCACCCTGCGAGGCGAGCAGCCTGCCCGCCCTTGCCATCGCGGATGATCCCGGCAACGAGCAGAAGTACCTGTAAGTAACGAAACGATCGATATTTTCCTCTAATTAACCCGGAGAAACAAATTCTTTATTCGAAACATACACTGTATCTCTAACAAATTTCATTCCGCGCGTCAATTAACCGATTCCGAAAATATCCGAAAGGTGGTGAAACACGTGTTCCTATGGAATTGCTTCCCGAGATGGTTCTCGATCGCAGGAAATCGCATCTCGGCTTCATTATTCGCGGCACACGTTACGGAATTAGTAGCTGGTGCCTGGCGGACCCTGTTATCAACAGTTTCCAGTTAATTAAAGTCGCTTTTCTAACGTGCCGAGTGCCGGCGTTCCTTTTGTTTAAAGGAAACCGAGCAAATTGCTCCTTCGAACGGCTTGATTTACGGTGCTCCGCGAGCGGGAATCCCGTAACTCCTGTTTCGACGTACACACACCTCGTACAGAGAAACCGCGCCGCCGAGCCGCGCGCGCCGGGGGGCTTGCACATGCATCAGCGGTAAAATACGAAAGGGTGCAGTCTTACCGAAACCATTAATCCCCGGGGAGACGCTTTCGCTGACGAAAAAGGGGATGGTGCCGACGTTGACCTAACTGTTGGTCGATACTATGTTCCAAAAGGAAACTTCGGCTCGTCGCTTCCCTGGGTTATTTACTGGGTGTTTACCTGCAAACTGAACCAGTTGAAACTTCAACACCATTAAATTTCCTTCTCCAATGATACTTATCTTTCTCTATCGTTACACAATCTCATCTGTCTATATAATAATATTTTTACTCAATACATTTCTTCAAATTCATTCCGAATATTTTCACTCACTTTCGAAATTCGTCACCATTACATACAGTTTAATCCTACGCCGAGTTACTATCAACAAGTCAGCCTTACACGTCGCCTCCAATGCAGCGGCTGACAAATCAAATTGCCAAGTTTTTAATTTAGAAGGACAGATCTTCCCCCGCATAATTCCGAGTTTGTACAGCGCAATTATTTCATCAGTCTGCAAGTTCTGCCAGTTCCCCGGCCGAGTTGGTTCCCGTGAGCCTTAACAAGCCTCCGATGCAGTTTCGCCGGCATCCTCCGATCTCCTTTCGCGCTTTCCTTCCAGAGTTTTGTTTCGCCGAAGATGCATGGGCCTTTCTTTGGGCGGCTCGGCCCCGCGCCGAAGTAGTCGTTCGTTACCGCTTTGAATCACCTTGTACTACAAAAGCGTAAGTTTACGTGCCACGTACGTAATTGGTTCGACCCAGTTGCTAACAATCCCGAGAAGTACCCTAGCCGGCGCTAGCCCTGAGCAATTCCGGTTATTCTTTCTCGTGGATGGAAGCGAAAGGAACGCGCTGCACACGATGAACACTCACCCCTGGACGCCTCACCCCCGCCGCCGGCCCATCTTCATCGTATTCTTCTTTTAAAGCCAGACTAAACTGTAATGAAAGCCCGACGATGATGCCGATTGGGCTTCCCGGTAATGAATGGCGACGCAGACCGAAGACATTGTGTCCACGTGTACCGTCCGCTGATCGACTTAAAAGGAGTTGTGCAATTTCCTCCGCTGCCATACAAGATTCTCGCCAGACGTGATGTTTCAGTTGGTCAATTAATTACTTTAATTACCGGCTACTTCGCACGGACCTTAAGGATTAGTATTTGCCTATTGTCTTCGTGATTTCATCGACGAATCGCGAGATTTACATGAATAATCACTTTTATTTCTACGTGACATGTCGATCTAAACCATACACGATTCAACTGACGCAACAAGCAATTAACAGAAACTTTGGAAACACGTCACTAATAAAATCTCAGTTTTCCAGCGAAATTTCCCTGGCAAGATTAACTTTATCAAACATTAGGTCAAGAGTATTAACAAATCGAATATCAACGCTATACTGTATCCTTCAAAGGCAGTACGCGCAGCTTTCAATCAGGCCAGCGCAGAGAAAGAGTAAGGATTCTCAAACGCAAAGGGGAAAGAAAGTCAACCAGTCGTTTTGAAATCAGTGGATCATTCCAGACCCCGCAGATACAAGGGATCGCGGGCTTTCAATTCACGTTCGATCCGAGTATTTTAAGAAACCCAGCAGTTCCTCGTCGCGCTAGCGCGCGTAGGATCCTGCGGCACATAGTTAATATCCGTTGAAAGGATTCGGAAGGATGAGCAAACTCGAGGAACAGCTACCCCCTACCCAATTTCGGTAATGCCTACGCGGTTCCGTGTGTAGCGGGAAAAATAAAGAGAGAAATGAAGAAAGGGGGCGGAGAGCACACACGAGTCCCGCAGGAGCCACGGCCAATGCAAGTGAAAGAGGACAAAATCAATGGAGAACCGTTTCGCCGGGAAAAAAAAAGTAGTTGTGTGCTCGGTTCTGGTTGACGCGTCCCTTCAATCCGCGACGCATCGACGAGCGAAGAAAATGGCAGAGCGGAAACAAGAGGAAATCCGTCCCTCGCGGAATCCCTTTCCCCGCTCGTTCCTTCGTGCTTATCTCTCGGCGAGATTAAAACACTCAGGGAAGGTTAAATACGAGGTATCCTGGGATTATTTCCTCGCTGCCGTATACACACAGCCTCCGTCCTCTTTCCCTTCGACGAGGAAAAAGAAAAAAAGAAGCGGGTTTGAAACGTCAGGGTCTGCCTTCGCTCGTTCCTTTTTCCCGTCTTCCTCCCTCTCTGTCGCATCTGTGCTTTTCTCCTCTTCCCTTTGCACTTGTTGAAGCGAATGAAGCTTTTCATTCGGGCAGGCTTTAATTATTACATTTGAGATTAATTATTATTGTACGTATTGAACTGTGACGCGAATCATTTCTGATCATTGAGATTCGAATCTTTGAATGGAATTCGGAAAATAGAATTATTACGGAGAACGTGAATAGTGGGAAAATATTGCAATTCGGACATTTTGTGTTATGAAATTTGTTATGTACAGTTTAATTTATTTTGCGATGCAGCGAAGTGTTATTCATCATGGTTACGCGAGTTTGCGATGAATTCTAATTAAATCCTTGGAATTAGAGTATTTTGTATACATAAATGGATTGATTTACGTCGCTGTCTAATAGAAAACGACGTGACGGAGGTTCCGCGTTGACAATTAATCCCCATTCGCCGAAGACCACGGCCAGGACGTGTCCGGTATTTCGTGATTTGTTAAATTCGCCTCGAATTTGCGGACCGTATAATTTACTCGTCGGCCATTAATCATCCGCGAAGTTCATCAGGCCGTGCGGCCGTTCGCGAGAGCTCGCTTATTCGCTCGCGCGAGCGACAATATCGGAAACCATTTCATTTTCAATTTATTCACCATCATCCGTTATATATCGCGGCCGGGACGATTTTCGAAATGAAAAAGCGCTCCCGATCGCCGCGATGATAAATTATACCGGATTCCTTGGCTTGATAAATCACGCGGCCGCTCCTTAATGAAGCGCCAAAATAATCCGTTTTATAATAGATTCTTAATTAACGTTCGCCCGCGTCTTATTCCGATTTCGTTCTCCTGCCGGCGTTCTCTTCAACTTCGCCGCGAATTCGAATCGAAAGCTCTTTAAACTTCGGCAAAGGGTACTAAAATATTCTCGAAGTCTGTCGAGTTAACGACTTATCGAAGATATTGGTTCAAGCTCGCTCACGTATCTTCGAAGATTAGATTTTAATTATCTTTACTGTACACAGGTGAAACTCGAAGGAGACCTTGCGAAGTTCTCGTTCGTTGATCTTGTTTATAGAAATAGACAAGTTTGGGAATTAATAGACCGAAATTTAGAAATTGTTTCATTAACACAGATGCTTATATTTCGTTTGATACGAAAAATTTCGATAGAATGATACATATAAAATTTGTCAACAATCAACGAACCGTTCTCAGTTTTTCCATCCATATTTATAGCATGTTTGTCGTATATTTAACGGGTGAACTTTTTGTTCCAGTCGCGAAGGCGAGCAACAGGTCAGGAACAAATGGATGAACCTGAAAGCCGCGGTTCGAAATTTGTCTCAGCTACATGTCGGACATACTACAGCGAAGCATCACTCGGTAAGTGACTGGCGAACAGTTTAATTAGTTTCGAGGGTTATCGTGAACTAGGTTCCGTTCCGTTCGACGATCCTGCGAAACCAGAACCGCGAACAAGCATGGCAGCCATAGGAGTTGCATTATTGCAAAAATATCCTTATTTTTAATTGAACTCTAACACGAACAGTGACAGTCTCCATTATCTAGCATTAAAGGTTTCATTCATAAAATATATAATTTTGCATACAGAATCACCAGGAATTTAAAGCAAATCTATTTCCATTTTTGTATGAATCTAAATTGCAAGTGCATACGACGATGCAATTTCATTAGTCACTACTATAGCCGCTATTAATGGAACCAGCCTATTCCCAATTTTCGCGCACACGCTCGTAAATTGGAACTCCGAGTTCCTGATCGTCCTGCGATATCGCACGAGCGTACGATGACTTAATAAGTCTCCGTTAAAGGGTAATCAATTAAGGTCACCGTAGGTTATGGCAGTTGATCAGCGGCTGTACGCGAACTTCGACTTTATAAAATAAGCCGAAGCGTCGAGTATCCCCCACGGAGTGATCGTAAAGCGATCGTACGAAATCCCGCGGATAAAGTATTTATTTTTTATCGGACATACATTGCTACGCGAAAGTATCGGGAAACATTTCCCGGGCAAAATGAAAAGTTAAACTGCAAAAGTGACCCGCCGTTTTATTGGAACGCTTCGAACTACCCCTGTCTGGGGAATACGCGAAGTTCCTAAAACATTGCTACGTCCACCGCAAACTTCCAGCTCGAATTTTATCGAGTATTTACGTAATACACTCGGAAGGAAGGTAAATATTATCGTGTTTACACAGAGGAGCGAACGCAAACGAGCGGGTTTAAAAGCGAATTAAAAAAAGCATCCCATTAAAGTGAAGCTTCACGTATGATTTATGGCACTCGACGGTATTGTTCCGCAGCTGTAATTACAGTCAACATCGGATAATCAATTTCCCGACACGTGCGCGTCCAATTTTCGGCGAAAACCCCCGTTGAAACCGTTTTATCACTTTCAATCAGTTAAAACCATTAAACCTTGGTATGCGTTGTTTAATTTCCATCGAATTATTAAATTCCGCCGTTACGCTCGCGCTCGCGGACGCGGCGCAACGGATTATTTATCTTATCGCCGAATTTGTATGCTGTCGAACACACTGTCGCGCGTATGAAAGGGAGAAAAGGTGATCCACTCGTCGCAAAGGAGTCTTTTTGAAGAGCCACTGCGGCCCCGAGGCAAGGTTGTCTCGGTCATAATTAATATTCAAAAGGTTTCCCGTAGTATCGCGGCCTGATAGACGATCTCCTGGAACGTGATAAAGAGTGGGTATTAAGCGTGACTTATAACGTTTGCGGGAACGTTGAAAAATCCCGCCGCCCCGGATCCCTTTGACTAGTGGTGCACGTCCCGCGGCGAACAATCCGCGTTTTCATGCGGCCCGGCCGCAAAAGAGCCCTCTCGCCATAGGCATCGGTCTTTGAGCGCGAGCCAAATGATACGTCTTCTGCCGCGCACGCGTCCTGCCCTCTATTAAAGCTAAAACTAGGGAATAGTGCAATCGACTATTTTGTATTTCTCTGTGCTGGCTAGAAGAACGTGTCATCGTTTCGATTGACTTATTTCCTGGCGTACAGATTAATTGGAAATAATAAATCACATTGATAAATTAGAAGTTAGTAAGTAGATATAATAAGTGAAAATAAAGAATCCAAAGTGAGTAACTGGGAAATAGTAAATAAACATAGTAAATTAGAAGTTAGTAAATCAGGTATAATAAATCAAAGTTAGAATAACACAAGTAATAACATCAGTAAATCAAAAGAATTCCAACTTTGTATTAAGAATTTCTTAATAAAATCAACCTAATTTTTACTTGAAACTCTGAAACTCTGAAATTGATTATTTCGAATGTTACGCGACGTCGAATCGCCTCGTTTTCTGTTCATTATTCCCGGTTGTCCCGCGTTTCAAGGATTTCTTTACTGTAACCGAAAACGAGATAGGAGAAAATAAATACGGTCCGCGGGTAGGATTTCTCTTTGAAGTTTTTCACGTACGGAGTCACTTTCGGACATGTTTGAAGGCGCTCGTTGACCGTGTTCTCCGTTTCTGAAAATTCCAACGGAGCAACGACAAGAGGCACTAGACAGTCCACGGAGCGTCACGAATTCCAGAGGAAGGTTCTTATCAGCGAGTCTCCGGTGTCAATTCGTTTGATCGAACACCTTACGCCGGGGTAGCGAGAGCCCTCGCGCGGTCGCGCCTTCACCGGATGATGTATTACGATGACTGTGGTCGGTGGATTCGATATTGGTCGATGTTCTTCTAAAATCGAGTGGTACGATACGTTCCGTACAGCGGCGAGAAGTTGAAACCTGCTGATAGATTGTGGATGAAATAAAAATACCGAACGTGTCGTACCGGAATTGGGTGCTGTAATTGAGATTGGATCGTCAAGTTCCGTGTTCCTTTTCCGAGTCCATATAGATCAACTCTCCAGGTTAATGTTGAAACGTCTATTCAAACAGTGCAGTTCGTTTCTTTAAAAACAGTTCAAGTAATTCTATGGTTCGTTCCTATCACTCGAAAACAGGTCGGCTGAAGATATAGGAATGCATTTATCATTGTCCCATCGTTCCATCTTCATTTCCCTATTACATTTCCCATTGCCAGTCACCTGTTTTACAACTCCATTTCATAAACTATTACCATTCGTACCTGCTAAATATATTCGACACGCACAGAATATGCAAAACGGGGGACACAGTTTTACAAGCGATCGACGACGAAGTAATCTTCCATCCGCATCGTTCTCATAAAAATATGCATGACTTCCCCTTCGAACGCGTCTCTACAGTCATCAGAAAGAAGGACTCAGCCGCCGAGGCTAAAAGTTTCACACCGAGGCGACAGAATTACGTTCGTCAATCGTTAGCGACTTCTCGTTGCATGCCACCCCCGCACCGTCCGTTCCGCCGTTACAGGCGAGAGTTACCCCCGTTTCTCGATACCGTAAACACGAACAGGTTTCTAAAGATTAGCGCGACGGAGCACTTAACGTCGAGCGGACAGGTATACAGATTTATTGTTCGCAGCCGGTCGCCCGGGCGCGGGCTGCAAATCCGCCCCGATTTTTCCGCGAATCCTGAATGATGCTCGACAACGTAAATAACGCCGCGCGCGCGCTCGCGCGCCCGCCGGTGAATCATTAAATCCGTCGGCCGAGGAACACGGAGGCAAGAGGTTGCTTTTACGAAGAGGCGTTCGAGCGTCGTCGATTTCAACCCTCCCCCGCGCTGCACCGCCAACCCTGTGCGCGTTATTTTTTTGGGAGGGGGTTCGACCGGACAATGGAGACGCGGATCGATGAAGGAATTAATGGCCGTTCTCCTTTAATGTGAAACTCTCATCTCCGTTTCAACTGATCCGCCTCCTCCCTTCGTTTTGCTTCTTTTCCCCTTCTACCTCTTGTCTTTTATCTCTTTTGTTTATAACTATGCAACCGAACGAAATAAGACAGAGGAAACGAGATACTTTAAGGAAAGAATAGTCTCTTTAATATTTTCATTTTCCTTCTATTCTTTGTATCTATCTATATACTTCTTTCTGTTTATTTTACTTATATCTAAATAACTGTAAGAAATACAGTAAGAAAAGAAAGATCATTTTTTTAGAATTTCCTTATCCTCGCTCCCCTTTTTTCCCCATTTTCTTCATTTCCCAATTAATTCTGTCTCCTTTTTTCTGAACTCTGCTTATGCCTAAATAACTGAAAGGGATAAAATAACATAAGAAAGATCATTTTTTTAGGCATTTCTTTACCCTCGATCTCTTATTTTCCCTATTTTCTTCATTTCTCAGTTAATCCTATCTCCGTATTTTTTTCTGAACTCTGCTTATGCCTAAATCACTGAAGGAGATGCAATAACAACAGAAAGATCATTCTTTTAGAATTTCCTTATCCTCGCACCTCTATTTTCCCTATTTTCTTCATTTCTCAGTTAATTCTAACCCCTTTTTTCTGTTTACTCTGCTGATACCTAAATAACTGGAAGTGATGCAATAATAAAAGAAAGATAATTTTTTTAGAATTTCCTTATTGTCGCTCCCCTATTTTTTCTATTTTCTTCATTTTTCAGTTAATTCTATCTCCGTATTTTCTGTTTACTCTGCTCATGCCTAAATAACTGGAAGAGATACAATAGAAGAAAGATAATTTTCTTTAGACAATCACTTTTCCTCTTCGTTTTCACCCTTTTCCCTTTGTTTCTCCATTAATATATTTATTGCTCTTTCTGTCCTCCTTTATTTCTTCGTTTCCCTCGGCATCCGCCCACCGACGGCACTCCCAGCCAAGCTCGGCCATTTTCTCCCTTTTGTTCTCGCCTCCACGCTTCCTTCTGACCCACCCGGCAACTCGTTTTCGGTGCGAGCTGTCTGTTTCGTTCGAACGATTTTTATTTTCATCCCTCGGATTCAATCTGTGCACAGCACCGTGTTGCTTATCGGGCTCCCAGTCCGACAGGATCGAACACAGCGTTCCCGGATCGCCCGCTGACGCTCGAATTAACGTTTTGTGAGCGGCTAACTGTCCGCGAACGATGGAACAACGGCCCCCCGCGTGTCCCCCCTTCCGGGAATCCGAATGGTGAACTTTTTAATCGCGCCACTTGTTCGCCGATTCCCGCTCTGGGGATTTATTATCGGCGTTCCTGCGCCGCGGACACCGTTTCTCGGCGAATAACTTGCTGGATAGCGGTGCTTTGCCAGTTACTTGGCGTGACTAACTGCCGGCCGAAAGCGTGAAAGGCGATAACGGCGTCCTGGGAGCTTTGAAACCCGTGAGAAGAATTTTGTTGGTCCGTAAATGTCCATTAGAGAATTAAAGTGTGCCGAACGACTTGTCAATCTCAATTTGTTGCTCTGTAAACGTCCCATTAGATTTCAAAGACCTATTAAATGATTTATAAATTATAATTCG